ATTAAGTTAGGTCTCATTCAGGATCTCTGCACGGACTTTCCTTCTTTCTGCTTTTCCCCCTCTCCCTTCCAGCGGTCCTCCTTCCTCCAAGGGATTTTGTTCCATTGAGTTCGAGGTATATTTTGCCATCGATAATGACTAGAATCCAAAGATTGTCACTTTTTGTGTTTTGCCTTACTATAGATCAGCTTCCAGCCTGCGATCCAGTTGAATTCCTATTTGTTTCTAATTTGGGTAGCAGCCCAGTTACTAATCCCGACAACCTTTCGTGGGTGGTCTCCTCTCCGGTCCTTCTCTCCATCTCTGCCTCTCCCACGTTCTTGCTCCAGTGTTCATTTACAGACTGCTGTGTGCCAGGCTCTCTTTTATGTCTTGGGCTTAAAAGTGTGTCAGACAGGGCAAGATATGACAAAATAAAAATTTATAAATTATCAAGGGTTCATGAGGGAGGAGGGAGCGGGGAGGGAGGGGAAAAATGAGGAGCTGATGCCAGGGGCTCAAGTGGAGAGCAAATGTTTTCAAAATGATGAGGGCAATGAATGCACAAATGTGCTTTACACAATTGACGTATGTATGGATTATAAGAGTTGTATGAGCCCCTAATCAAATGATTTTTTTTAAAAAAAGCGTGTTATGAAGGATTGGGAAGAAGAAAAGAGGTGAATTAATTAATATTATAGTTGGTGAATAGCTATTTGCTGAGAAGGCATTTGACGCTATTGGTAGAAGTGGCCTCAGTTCTCGGCTAAGGGTTACTGCCCTGGGATAGTCCATAGCTAGAGATCAGGAAGGGCGGGCTGTTCTGTTCGCCCGCTGCGTCATGTGGCAGTGTGAGAACAGTTTGAGATACTGCCCGTTACCATTTATTTTCATTCCATGAGTGTTGAGTTTCCTTTGCTTTGGCTCTGGTTCCTTATTTGATTTTGTCTTTGTAATCTGCTACTTTCTTTTACTTGGCTATTTCTTTGGAAGCAGTCATGCTCTATGTTGCTGGCTTTGATTCTCCGGGAAACGTAACTGAAGTCATAGTCCTGGCTCCCAAGAATTGCCTTCTCTGATTGGTGGAGACAGTACATTAAAAAAGACATCTACATCTTACTAAGTTTTGAAACATAACAGGAATATAGAAAGAACGTATGATTACTATATTAATTTATATGATTACATGATTTAATTGCAGTATGACTACTATTCACCTAGATTTTCCATTTGTTAACATCATAGCCCTAATTGCTTTATCTTTCTTAAAAAAAGCTATATCATGATATTTAACCTCTGAATACTTACTCTACATCTACAAAATAGTGTTATTATCACCTATCAAATTGAACAAAATATCTTCAGATGGTCTATCTTGAGTCCTTATTTATTCACATTGTTTCTAAAATGTCTTTTATAGTTTGTTCGATAATGGAATCCAGTCATGGGCTGTCGCATTGCTTGTTACATTTCTGAAGACCCTTAATATAAGTGTTGTTTCTTCCTCCCTTGTACCCCTCCTCTCACAACAACACTGATGGGTTGAGCAGAACAAGCCAGTTGCCTTGTCTGGATGTGTTTGAAGGAACGAGTTAGGGATTCTGCAGTGAGGTAGGGCATTGGCAGGAAGACGTGTGGTGACTTAAGAAGAACTGGTGAAATGTAATAGAAGGTGGACTTTCCTGGCTGCCAAGCCACCCCTTTCTTCTAAGTCTACTTCAGGAGTGTTTCGTTTTTGAAAATCGTGTAGGAGGGCTAGCAGGTCTCCTCATAACCTCCCTTTTCAGGCTCTTATTTCATTCTGTCAGGGCCATCTCTTGTCGTTTTCCAACTCACGTCTCTGAAACTAGACAGTAGGCGTTGTTGAGGAGCACACTTATTTTATTTATAAAAGTGTTAGGAATAGAGGCTTCTTTCAGGCTTAGCCACTTATCAGCACTGCCATGAGCCTCTGTTTCCATGTCTGATAAAAGAGAAGCTAACTGGTAAATGATCACTATAAATGAGAATCATGAAGAACCGTGCTTCTGAGAGTGCCCGTGTTTATCATCACAAAAGAGTGACTTGGGAAGTCGTTTTTAGTGATAACGATACTTATGTTTTAGGTTGGAACACAATTCAGCCGTGGTGTGTCTGGAGGAGAGAGGAAAAGGACCAGCATTGGAATGGAACTTATTACTGACCCATCCATCTTATTCCTGGATGAGCCTACAACTGGCTTAGACTCCAGCACAGCAAATGCTGTCCTTTTGCTCCTGAAGAGGTAAATGCTATGGGAACATACTTTAATTCACCAAATTTCTGAGCAAGAATTCAGCAGTAAGTACACAGAACAAAACAATTCTTTTTCTGCTGTAGGAAAGAGTGAATAATCAAATAGAAACATAAAGCAGAGTAAGAGTATAGAGAAGCATGGCTGTGGCAGGGGTGGGGGTAATTTTTTAAAAATCTAATATAGTGGGGTGTTCAAGGAAGACCTCAGTGATGTGGCACTTGAGCTGTATGCTGTGAGTGAGACCTGGAGATTTGGTAGAAGAGAGCTCTAGTTGTAGGAAAGAGCCAGTGGCCACAAGGAGAGCACACCAGATACTTTTGGAACTTGAGGGAGATCAGAGAGACTGAATCTTGTGACTCAGATTTTAGAGGTTTGTTATAGTATATCTAAGTTAGAGTTGCGTAGGCAGAGATTATATAGGTCTTGTAAGTCACAGGGTGGTGAAAATGGTTTGCTACAAACTGAAAAGCTGGTGGTTTGAGTCCATCCTTAGCACCCTGGAAGAAAGGCCTGGTGGTCAGTTTCCATCAGCCATTGAGACCCAAGGAGGACAGTTTTGCTATGAAACCCAGGGAGCTGTCATGAGTTGGAAATGACCCCGCAGCAGTGAGTAATCCACTGTTAGAATTATGCTTTTTATTGTCAGTGAGGGATGGAAGTGGGACTTTTTACTCCTGTAAAGTGTTAAAGTCTCAGAAACTCACACAGGCCGTTCTACCCTGCCTTCTGGGGTCACTATGAGTTGGCGTGGACTTGATGGTAGTGACTTTGACTTTTTGGTTTTGCTGTGGCCTGAGTCAGAATGGACCCCACGGCAGTGGTTTTCATTTGGGCTTGGGTGGCCTGCCTGAGAAGGTTTTACAGAGTTTTAGAGCAGAGGAGAGTAGAGATTATATACGTGGGCAAGGGTGTGTGCCAGGAAACCAGTAGGGAGGCTGTTTGTGGTAGTTGAGTTGTGATACAATAATGGCTTATGCTACGATGGCTGTGGTCAAGTGGTGAGCAGTGGTGGGTTTGGATATATTGTGAGGAAAGAGCCAACAGGGTAAGTTCGTTCATTGATGGTTGGGTACTGTACCAAGAAGTGCCAGTGTCAGATGTTTTAACCATTATTTTTTTCTATTTTCACGTAGGATGTCTAAACAGGGACGGACAATCATCTTCTCCATTCATCAGCCCCGATATTCCATCTTTAAGTTGTTTGATAGCCTCACCTTACTGGCCTCGGGAAGACTGATGTTCCACGGCCCTGCTCCGGAGGCCTTGGGCTACTTTGCATCAGCGGGTATGGTTGACTGTTTCTTGCAGTAGGATCCTTCATGAATAGAATTGTGAGAGAGAGCTGAGGGAGGACTGAAGGAGTGCTGGTTGAATCTTTGGCAGAGATACCATGGTTTCTACCACCCAAAATGTTTTCCCTCATTCGGGTGCCAGACTATATCTTTGTTTTGCAGCACATGCATGTGTATAGGTCTCGTTGCTGTCCTATGTGTTGTGCGTGCATACGTTTGTAAGTGGTTTCAGTGAGCCGACCTCCCAGTTACGGTGAGCTTTTCTCTAACGCCTTGGCCTCATGGTCAGTTATTCGGTCACTTGGGCTCTATGAATACCCTAAGTCATAATTTTCTGGCCCATAAAGCAGATTTGACTTTACTATTTGTCTTTCTTTCTTATGGTGTAGCTCTGCCTTTAAAATAACCAAATATATATGAATCTAGGGAGTCTAGAGGAGATAATCATAGTATTAGTGCCATTGAGTCGGCTCCGAGTCCAGCAACCCCACGTACAACAGAACAAAACACTGGCAGCCCTGCATATCCCTCCCTACTGCTGTGCTGCCGGGGCCCTTTGTGGTAGCTGCTGTGTCCTAGAGTCCAGTGAGAGGCCAGGTGAGGACCTACCATAGGAAACGGAGGCCAGTTTTTCCATGCCTGTGCTGCTCCTGCTCCCTTGAGAATGCAGCTATGGTGATGTGTTCTCTTTGTTTGGACTCTTGGCAGCCTAGCAAGTGATATTTTGGATCTCAGGATTTAGGAAGTGGGGAAGCAATAGTGTTGTTAAGTGCCCTCCGGTCACTGAGGACTTGGAGCAACACATAGGACAGAAGGGAACTTTCCTTAGGGTTTTGTTGTTGTTGTTGTTAGCAAACGGCCGTGTCTTTTCTCGTGTGGAGTTACTTGCACCGTGCCCCTTCCAGTTGGCCCCGAGTCCTCAGCCAGTGCCCCACTGGGCTTCTTGGACCCGCAGGAATCTTTGCACTGCCTTCGCCCTGCCAGGAGCCTGGCCGGCTGTGTCTTGGACTGGGCCTTTCTCACCTCTACTTGGAGGAACACGGATTCTACCTCCTTCTTTGTTTTGCTTTTTTAAAATCTTGGTCCTGTATTTAGAATTTTGAGGAAGAACTGATATGACCCGAGCTTGTTGTTGGCTGTTTTGAGTCTCATGAATTATGAAGAGTAAGTATCATGCTTAGAGGGCTCACCGTTGATTTGGAGTATGGTTTTGGGTGAAAAACACTCTAATATTGAAATAACACGCGAGTGAGAAGACCAGGGTGAAGTTATTCAATTCTGTTCCCCTTTCATAAGCCATCATCACCGCTGAGAGTAAGTCCCTCATTCTCCAAGACGGCATCAAGTTTGTGAATTCAGTTCGCCTATTTTCGTAGGTTACACCTGTGAGCCTTATAATAACCCTGCAGACTTCTTCCTGGACGTCATTAATGGAGACTCCTCTGCTGTGGTATTAAACACAGAAAGAGAAAACCCTGAAGGTATGTGGGAGCTCCGCTAGTTTCAGAGTTTTGCCTAATTGACTTGGCTGAAGTCGGGTGATGTGGTGTTTCATTAAAGCACAGCTTTATAGCTCTATATAAATGCACTGACAGGATAGATACCAGTTGTCTATGAATGCTGATATTTTTGAAAACGTTCGTTTATAAATTAGCTTTTGTATGATAGTATCAGTTCTAACGGGCGGTTCTGGGGTTTTTTGTCTTGTTTTTAAATAGGTGTTGTAAAGTGATGACAAATCATTTTCTTAAAAAGATTTTGTCAAACTGCAAATTAAGCTCTGAGAGAAGAATCTAAGAAAGTGGTCTTGGAAAACGAGACTCCCCCAGTTGTTGTATGGCTAATCATATTTCCCTCCTTGATGTATTTTTATTCCAAAGCCAGTGGAGCTGAAGAGAATTCCCCAAAAGATAAATCCATAATCGAAAAATTAGCTGACTTTTATGGCAAGTCCACCTTCTTCAGAGACATGAAAACACAACTGGACGAACTCTCAGTGGTCCAGAAAAAGAAGAGAAGCTCACACTTGAAGGACGTCGCCTATGCCACCTCCTTCTGTCATCAGCTCCGATGGATTGCCAAGCGCTCGTTCAAAAACTTGCTAGGCAATCCCCAAGCCTCTATAGCACAGGTAAGGGACAACGGTTTTAAACTGTGTTGTGATAGAGCTGCGGTGCCCCTCTGCTTCAGGAGTCTGCTTATCATCATCTTCCTACCCTTCCATTGGTTGCCCCTACTCCATTTGAGCCAGGAGAACAAGGTAAACACAATTAGGTTTCTACTAATGCAAGCTTTTTAGTTTTTATTTTAAATGGTTCCTTGGACTGCTTATTGATTTGGGCAAGCTGTAATGGATAGTCGCTGTAGAACACCCCCAGCCCCCAACACACACACACACACACACACACACACACGCACACTCACACTCAAGAAAACATGTGAAGCAAGGGAAATGTTTAAGCACATGATCAGCCACTAAGTGAAAGACCCCTGATTCACGATCACCAGCTGCTCAGCGGAAGAAAGCATGCCGCTCAATTTCCGTTAAGATGGCACTCCTGGAAAGCCTATGGGGCATTCTACTCTGTCCTAAAGGGTGTCTCTGAGTTGAATCCAACTCAAAAGAGATGGGTTTGATTTTAATAGCTTCGTACTTTCATTGATTCATTCAACAAGTTCTTATGGATTATGTGCTGCTTTCTGGGGGTTCGTTTCTAGCCAAGAACCAAAGAGGAAAAAATTAAAATGGCTTCTCTCATGGATCCTATATGCAGAAAAGCAGGCAATCATTGAGTAAAGAAGCAAAATACATAGCATTAGAGGAAATCTAAGCAGGCAGTGGGTGGATAAAGAAAGAGGGAAAGGAGAGAGGAAGTAAGGGACTGGCTTGCAGTTTAAATCTGATGGCCAGAGAAGCCTTTACTTAAATGTCCTTGAATGCACCTGAAGGTAGACCTGAAGGAAGTGTGAGAAGCTAGCCTGTGTTTGAGCAGGAGCCAGGGCGTAAATGCTGTTCTTTATAATTGACCATTCTTATTCAGCGAGTCTATTAGGAGCGTACTGGAAACTTTTTTTAATTGAAATGAGGTGCTGGTCTTTGCCTCTTTTGGTTGACGTTCTTGCTACTTGTTGAATGTCACTCTATTACTGTTTTCCTGTTATCTTAACCCCCCCTATGAGGCTTTCTACTCCTGTAAACAGTTAGCAGTCTCAGAAACCCACAGGTGCAGTTCTACCCTGTCCTGTAATGTTGCTATGAGTCAGAGTTGACTCAATGGCAGTGAGTTTACCATGCACCATACTAGTAAGCCCAGTTCTTCGGTCTGCCTTCAAAAAAATATTTTATTGTGTTTTCAGTGAAGGTTTACACTGCAGTTTGGCTCACAGTCATTCTTCTCCATGTTTGGTGACATTGGCCATGTGTGATCATTCTCATTATTTCCACTCTGCTTATTTCATTTCCGTTCATCTCATCCCGCTGCCCTCTTATATTCTTGTCTTCATGTAAAAGTAATGTTGACCATTTGGTCTTCTACCTGTGGTTTTGTAAAAATTACATAATTCTCAAGGAAGCTCCAGTAGGCTATTAGTGAAAAGGCCGTCTCAGGAGCTAGTTGTGGTTTGGGAGTCCTCCAGTCTCAACGTTCCGATAAGTCTTCTTTTATGAAAAGAAAAGTAAAAGGAACTTGACTTTCTGTTCCACATGTTTCCTCAATTCTATCAAGATCTGTCTACTGTGGCCCGGAGAATGGTTGGTAGTACTAGCTGGGTTCCTTTAGGCTCGTTTTAGGGAGGATGAGGCCAGGGTTCATCATCAAATTTTCAGTTTCTCTTAAGCCCTGGAAGATGGTACATTGTTAGTTCTAGTTAAATATTACTGACTTTTTAATATGTAAATGATAGTTTTTTATACTTGAGTATTTCCACCTTCTAAATATTAATCTTCAGAACTTACATTCCTTTTAAGGAATCCTAGTGGAGCTCTGGTGGTGTTGTGGATTAAAAACATTGGACTGCTAACCTCCAGGTCGGTAGTTCAAGTCTACCAACTGTCCTGTGGGAGAAAAAGGAGACTGCTCCTGTCAATATTTATAGTCTCAGAAACCCTGTTGATTAACAGTCATTTTTTGGTGGTCGATGGTTACTACTCAGCTGCTAAATGAAAGGCTAGCAGTTTAAACCTTCCAGCCGCTGTGCTGGGGGAGGAAAGTGCTGTCCTCCCACAGAAATGACAGTTCAGGAGACCCCACGGGGCAGTGTTATTAGTGGGGTCCTCACCATGAGTTGGAATCAGCTCACAACAAAAACACAAAACAACAGTGGCCTACAACAAGAGCAGCATTACCCCAACTTGAGTCAGACTGCTAATTTCTCCAGATATTTTTGGTACTTGTTATTTGGCTTTTATAACCGTGCACATTTGTGTAATCTATCAATCAAAGGTACATTTTCTCTTCCTGAAGTAGATTTGATGTGACTTGGAAATAAGACTAGTACATAGGATCAACTGGGGTATACATTGTTCTAAGATGAGACAATGGAATTGAGTAGAGTCTTCACTGTGATTTATGCATTAATTGTGTTTAGAGGTGTTTTTTTTAACTTGGAAACTAATTTAAATTGCTCACTGTCTTGCTCAAGTCACATATACAGCAGTGCTGTGAGGAGATGTGATTAGAGCTTAGTGCTACTTTCAATCTGCCATGATTCCGAATCTCTTGGTGCCCTAAACCCATCATGCCTCCAAGATGCATGACTCAGCCTTCATCCGCATTGGACCACTAACTCCAAAGTTCAACCCATCAGCTGCTCTGAGGGAGAAGGATGCGTCTCTGTGCTTCCTGAAAGATCCACAGCCTCGGGATGAGGTGGGACTGACTGCATGGCCAGGGGTCTGGCTTTGATCAGTGAATTCGCTTCCAGCAAAGGAATTCCAACAATGGGCAGCGCAGTAGCCATCCCATAGAATAAGAATGACCTGTCAGCGCCAGAGAGTTGATTCTGACTCACAGTGAACCTTGTTTCCTGGACGTCTATGCTGAATGGCAACTCTCATTCAGACTTAGAAATACTGATTGTTAGCTTGGTCAGACGAAGGCAAACTTATTCTGTAAAGAACCAGTCAGTCAGTCACTGCCATCTAGTCAAAGCCCCTGTGGAGTTCTGAGACTGTAAGTCTTCAAGAGAATAGAAAATCTCATCTTTCTGCCTCAGAGCGGCTGGTCGCTTCCAACTGCTGCCCAATCTGTAACCCACTAAGCCCCCAGGGCTCCTCCGTAGAGAACTAGATCATAAATATTTTAAACTTACAGGTCCTGTGACCTTGCTCAGTTACTAACCCATTGCCATTGATTATATTCTGACCGATAGCAAACCTGTAGGACCAAGCAGAATTGCATCACGGGCTTTCCAAGGCTGTAACTCTTTACGAAAGCCGACTCCCACATCATTCTCCCACACACAGGCTGCGGGGTTTAAACGCCAACCTTGTGTTTTGCAGTCGGGTACTTAAAGCACCTATAGATACTTTGTAAGTGAAAAATTATAGCAATGTTCCAATAAAGCTTTATTTATGGTGATGGAAATGTGTGAATTCCACATACATTTTTCTAATGAAGAATATTTTTCTTTATCCCCTCCGTTACCATTGAAAAATGTGAAAACCACCCAGTGCATGGCTTGAAGGAGAAGGCAGGCTCACGTCTTACATGGCCTGGAGGGAGTTGGGCACCTTGTTTATTTCCTCTTGCTATTTACTGAGCTTGTTCATGTTTTATGGCCTCCGGTTAATAAATATTGTATGTATAGTCCTACAGCTGCACTTTGGTTTGAAGAAGTCACCTATTTATATATGTATTTATGTAATTCAGACTCGACCTTTCGGATAGTGGGTTTTACCAAAGGTTATATTTGAAAGATCTTAGAATGAATATAAAACCATTTTCAAAGATGACTTACTAGGTGGAAAGTGTTTCCTGATCAAATAATTTTGGAAAGCATTATCATATTCCTTGGAGATTCATTGTCACGTATCATGTTAACTAACTATGGAATCCATTTATTTTAAGTGACACACGTAAACATCTCCCAGAATATACCTTAAGAAATACTGGTTAGATACACTTCAACAATGACTGATAACATATTTAGGGAATTTTAAAACATATTTCTATTCGGAACAGGTCAGAACTCCTAGGTAGAGTCTCTCTCTGCTTGGTGTCATGTTCTATTTGCCTGTTTTCTTTTGCTTTTGCTATTTTTTTCTCTGATGTAAGAACGAATAATACAGTCCCACCTTGTAAAAGTATAATGAAGTTCTTATGTGAGATTAATTATGTTTTCAATATGTTTGAAAGCTGATCTTGAAAATACTTTTAGAACTTTGAAACGCCCTCATGATAATACTGACAGGCTGCTGTTATAAGATGTCAAGTTTTGAATGGAAAAAGAACAAAGCAATGTGAAATGTCCAGTTAGAAATGCGTGGCTGTTTTTAAGGAGCCTTGTAGCACAATGTTAAGTACTTAGCTGCCAACCAAATGGTTGGGAGTTTGAAACCCACCAACTGTTTGGGGGAGGGGATAAAGATGGCAATTTCCTTCCATAAAGATTTCCAGCCTGGGAAAACCTGTAGGCAGTTCTACTCTGCCCTACAGGGTTGGTGTGAGTTAGCATTGTCTCCAAGGCAATGGGTTTTGTTTTGTTTTTTAAGTTATTTGTGAAGTTCTACTTTGTCAAAGTGTATAGACCCCTGAGGCCATATCCACACATGCATATTGACAGTGGTCATTGTTTATGTTTTAAAACCTGATCTATGGACATAAAGTATGGTACATTCTGAGGACATTGGTAATGTGATAGGACTAATGGATTTTTCTTTCTTTCTAGTTTCTTCCTTAAACTTTATTAGTGAGGAAATTTAACCACATTTCATAAGTAAATATTTAAACCAGATTCTTTCAGACTATAGTCTTCATGGCACATTATCCTGTTCTTCCACAATGGTTTATTTCATGCACAACTCTCATTAGCAAATTACTGGAGTTTTGCTACCAATGGACATGGTAGGGACATGGAGTTTTGTTTAAAAACAGAGCTTTTTTTTTAAACAACTGATGGTTTTATGATAGGAAAGGGTATTTTGCGTTCTTATAGATACACACACACACACACATATAAAATAATATTCTTGCAGTAAAAATACACATGAGAAAGCTGATGTTATCTCAACCATTTCTACATGCACAATTGAATGCCATTGATTACATTCTTCAAGCTATGTGGCATTACTTGCCCTTTTAAATATTTATTCCATGCAAAACAAGTAGCATTTCCTCAAGTAAATTATATCATAATCTGGTCCTTAATCTTTTACTTATACATCTGCTTAAGAGGCATCTTATCAATGTTACAAACAGAAAGAGATGCTTATCTGTTTTTCTTATGAGCCTCCAGACAGACTGACTGGGGAGCTAACTGGAGGTAGATAAGAGGATCCCAAGAGCTGGCAGCAGAGGTCTGTACTGTTGGCTGGCAGTCCAGCTGGCTGAGGTTGTTGTGGATGGACGATATGGTGATGGAGGAGATGAGGAATAGAAGCACACAGATGTACTTAAGGAGAGTTGACTGCGTGTTTGGTAACAGGGACAATGCACTTTTCCAGTACAGGCATCAACTCCCCAGAGTTTGAATTGGCAGACCCCAGTTCACCCCTACTTCCATGTCATGCAACATGCCATTGTTAGAAATTGTTTGTGTATGTTTTACAACGTATTATTTATTTTTTTAACGTTAAAAGTAAAGATATCCTGTTTTTTACTTGAACCTTTTGAAATAGGCACAAAGGTTCAGAGTTCAGGCTAAAATTCTTAGCACTTAGACTTTATTCCTTTGCCAAAACCAGGAAAGAGTTACTTAGGTGTTTGCTTTGATTAGCGCCTCTATCAGGAAATCCCAGGCCTTGGCAGGGCCTTATGAAATAATTGTGGGAATCTTAGCTTCTCCGGTAGGAGCCCTGGTGGCATAGTGAGTTATGCAGTGGGCTACTAACTGCAAGGTCAGCAGTACAAGCCCACCAGCTGCTCCGCAGGAGAGTTGAGATGTTACACTCTAGGAAAGAGTTACAGTCGGGGAAACCCACAGAGGCAGTTCCACTCTGTCCCAGAGGGTCACTCGGCGTTGGAATGGGCTGTATGGCAGTGAGTTTTGGTGTAGCTTTTCCACCATTTTGCTTTCTTCTTTTTAAGTCCCCCAAATTCCCCAATTACTGTCTCTATTATTATTTTTTTCTTTTTCTCTCTATTATTAATTAAACTTAGGAATCAGGATGTCTTCTTGTCCCAGACAAAGCCACTTAAAATATTTTGGTTGCTGAAGAAATCTGATTTTGAAACTATATAGACTATAATAACAAATGGTGTGTATAAATTTTTGCTATTGACTTAAAATATCTTTCCTTTTTATTTCTTTTGAAAGATAATTGTCACGATCCTCCTAGGACTGGTTATAGGGGCTATTTTCTATGGATTGAAAAATGATCAAACTGGTATCCAGAATAGGTAAGTAAATTTGTCCTTGGTTTTCAAAATTGCTACAGTTTTTTTTCCAGCGTAAGGAAACTCATTAATGATTTTCATTTGAGATAAATACAGGATTGATATCTTTTCATTGAGGAAGTAGATTTGAGGCACGAATCAGTGAATGGAAAGCTAATGGAAAAGTTAATTTTTTTGTTCTGCTTTTAAAATTTGACCAGGAGACCAATGGGGTGCAGGTTTTTGTTTGTTTGTTTGTTTTTGTAGCCCTTTAATGGTTAACGGTGTTGTGATCCTTATCTGGTTTCGATTTAATGTGCCCTTAAAAAAATTACTTCATGATGAAACAAAAAAAAAGAAAGAAAGAAAAGCTTTTACTTTGGCTAATTGAGACTAAACAGCAGAACATATATCAATTCAACGACTTTTACTTGTCCAATTCCACGGCGCTGATGGTGGTCATCGATTATGCGATTGCCCTCGCCCTCCTGTTGGAGTTGTTCCTCCCCACTCAGATACATGCCCTGCTCCGTGTTTCCTATCTCATCTTTCCAGGAGCTGTGGCCAATTTGATCCCATAGAGATCGCTTCTTCAAAAAACATAATGTTCAAGGTAGATATTCCTTTTACTGGTTAAGTTACTGTTTGGTTTTACAGCAATTTAGGGTTAAGACAGTAGTTCTCAGCCTTCTTGATGCCATGACCCATTCATACTGTTCCTCATGTGTGGTGACTCCCACATTTTATGGTCAAATAACCATACAATTATTTTCATCGCTACTTCACAACTGTAATTTGCTGCTGTTACGAACTGGGCGACCCCTGTGAAAGGGTCATTCAACCCCTAAAGGGGTTGCGACCCACAGGTTGAGAACCGCTGGGTTCAGGTTTAAAGATGATCATGATGAGAGTCTTTGATGGACTCCATCTTATTCTGATCACCACCAACACCTCCTTGTCCATTTATTTTAATTGTGGTGGCTTGCTTATGGCTATGAGACTGGAAGCGATATCACTGGTAATTCAAATAGCAGCAAGGTCACCCATGGTGGACAGATTTCAGGGGAACTTCCAGTTAAGATAGGTGAGGAAGGAAGATCCTGGGATCTTCTTTTAAACATTAACTAGCCAATGAAAAACTCTGTTTTTATTGGGACCCCCCCAACAGGATGATGTCTGATATAGTGCTGGAAGGTGAGTTCCCTAGGTTAGAAGTCATTCAAAATACACAGCGTAAGACTGGACTTGACCATAGCCGTGATCGTGCAGGGGCTGCAGCGTGGGCATTCTTGGTTTCGTTCGCTCTGTTATACAGGGCTCACCGGGAGTTGGAGCCAACTGGAAGGCAGCTAACAGCGTCTGCTTGTGTTGAACTTATCAGGCGCTCAGCAGACTTCAGACTTCTCAAATGCTTAGGGAGGGAGAGTGCTGGTAGCACACATTTTGCTCATCTTCTGACATCATCTTCTCAGGTCATCCTCCCAAGGGCAGACTGGGAGGATGGTCCTAGCCTCATTTCACTGTTGAGGGAAGTTGGAGGAGCTTAAGTCAGACCTATGCCAAAGTCCAGGAAAGGTTAATTACTTTTGAAAGGAAGAAAGAATGAGCTTGAAAATCCTTAGTCTGGGGAATGAATTGTTGTCTTTGTGGAACCGGGTAGTGTCATTTGTAATGCAACTCTTTTCCAAGGCTGCGTCTGTCATTTTTTAAATTATCTTATTGGGGGCTGGCTGTGTCATTTTTTATCACTGTACCTTCTTTGTCTCTTTACCCACCCTAAGGGCTGTACACGCTCACCTCCAAGTCTCCAAACCTGTTAGTAATTGATGGCTATGCA